CTCCAACTTGGGAAAAGAAAATTGTAACATGAAGAACCTGATTCTCCAATACTGATTTGACAGTGTACTACAGCCATTTTCATTTATCATGTTAAGCAGGGGTAAGTATCTGTACGAGTATAAGCAGTGAAAAATCAGTCCCAAGGTCAGAAGAACAGGTGAAAGTTTCAGAAAATTATAAGCAACTGAAAAAAATGGGGGCTAAGAATAGAAATGCTTAGGAAACCCCTTAACTAACACACTATATACCAACTACTTTTTGTGTTTGCATTTATCATCAAATAAACAAATACGTTTATAGGGATAAGAAAGATTGACTTTCTTGCTTCAAGTAGAAAGTAAATATATAGAAGCGTGGCGCTCCAACCTAAAGGCTGGTAATAGAAGCATAGTAGTACCTCTACGCTATCAAAATTTAATTATGCTGAATAAGGTTGTAGAAGTTAATTGAGGCTAGGAACAGCTATTGCATTTGTCCCTGGATAAATTGTTTGTGTGTTTGTTCTGGAACAAAGATATCTTGGGATTGTACAAACTATGTCCTTCTAATCAGGGTTTAGTGAGTGGCTGAATGCAGTGCTGCTTTTCTGCCATTGATTCAATGATGCAATCCAAGGATAATTGCACAAAACTTTGCAGTATTCCAAGGCAAACAGTTACTGTCTCCTATCTGGGAAACTTTTTTAGGATTTATCCCAGGACAAAAGACTTGGACTTCTGAGTGACTGCATTTTGCCCCAGGATAAATGGTTTATCATAGGATAAATATGACATTTGCCTGTAAATATACTATAACTAAACAATGGTCCATCTACATGAGATGCTTAACTGTGCACTAACATAGTTTACTGTGCAGGAAGTGTATGTGTCTACTTGTACACATGCTTACTTCTCAGTAAAAACCCCTAATCGTGAGTACATTTGATACCTCTGCAAATGCAGGTATCAAATTTACTCATGATTAGTTACTGCACAGTAATGCACATGTAGACATGACCAGAGAACACATTTGCTCCCAGGTCAGCCCTGCCACTAGGGACCAGTCTGAGGCTAGCCCCAGGGCTCCAAGCTGGGAGCCTCTCCTATCCCAGGCTGGGCTGCCTCCATGGCAGCCCCTGCCTCAGGCTATTAAAAGTCTGCAGACATTTTGAGCCCTGGGGCATACCAGCAGAAAGCCTGAGGTGACTCCAAGCCTTATGTCCCCCTGGGCAGACTGCAGGCTAGCCTCACCAGCCTGCCTGCAGCCCGGTGCCGCTGCCTGACATGGCAAAGCTGTACAGCTGCCAAGCCCACACCATCCAGGCCTGAAGGTTCTTGCAGGCTGCTGTAGACTCTAACCAGGTCTGCCAGCACACAGGCCCAGCTGCAACACTAGCCAGAGCACAGCTTTTGGCTGCTGGGGTGAGCTGCACCTGCCCACAACCCACCCGCAGCAGCCAGCCCTCAGCTTGCAGGTGCTGCCAGGCATTGCTTCTGCCACATGGCTGTCAGTCCTTCACTGGGCCCCTGTGCTTTGTTCTGCAGGCAGCTGCCGAGGCTCAGCAGTTGAGACAGCTGCGCAGAGACCCAAAGAGCCAGTGCAGGACCCATGATGGCCTCATCATCACCCAGGCCCATGCCCACCACCCAGGGCCCCAACTGCTTATTTACTGCACAATAAATTACTGCATAGTAAGCAGGAATATGCCGGCAGTCTATGGAGGAGACTGGCAACCTCATGGCACTGTGGGGTGATGCAGAGTTGCAGTGCCAGTTTGAGTGAGGTGGGCACTCCAATGCCCACATCTATGAGGGGCTGTCAGGCTGGATGCAGGAGCATGGTGTGGCAGTGAATTGCCACCACTGACCACAACCAATGATCAGGAAGTGCCCGTAAGCCCATGCCCTTTATACAGCAACTGATGTACATCCTCACGTCCTGGGACCCAAGCCACAGCCATGCTGTGTACAGCAGCACAGGTGGCCTGCCTGAGCCCCTGCCCTGGCCTGGCACCCACGGTGACATGTAACTGGGGGAGGGCCCCTTGGGCCTGTAGCAGACTAAAAACAGCCCCATAAACTTTCAAATTCAATTATATATTTTTAAGAATAAACAAACAAAATAAAACTAATATATTTAAAAGTTAGTCTCTTGATTTTTAAATTACTAGATTTTTAAATTACTACTAAATTCTAAAATGAATTAAATAAAAGAGACCTGAGAAAGGGTACAGTGGTACCCAAAAGCTTGTTTATATCCTTCCCAACTATATAGTAGGGCTATAGTGGGTTGAGGATTGCTCACTCAGACAGACTTGGTTTACAGTTTTTGAGCACTGGCAGATGTGCAAGCCCCAACTTTAACTCATACCATGAGTTAGAGCAGCCCCCTTGACCCAACAGACATTTGCTTACTGGGTGGGAGGGAGGAGTCGAGCTCCACTTTGGGGCTGATTGAGCCCTCCCTGCAGCCTCTCTCCCCTAGCCCCACCCTACAGCTATGGTGCTGTCAGAGTACTCCCCCCTGCAGAAAGGGAAGAGGGGGAGAAGGCAGGAGGAGTAAGCAAGCTGTAGGCTGGGGTTTGCCTGGCCTGAGCTAGAGGGGGAAGCACTGTGCGGGGGAAAGACTGCTGGGATCAGATGACCCCAGCACGATGGGCGTCAAGATGTTTTTTGATAGATTGCCAGGATGGATGACTGTACCACCTCTGTGGGGAGCCTGTTCCAAAACCTCGAGACTCAGCTTGTAAAGAAGTTTTTCCTTATGTCTAGTCTGAAGTGATCCTCAATCAGTTTGTGTGCATTATTTCTTGTCCTCCTTGGGGGGTCTTTGTGAATAGATGCTCCCCTGAGCCCTGATGTATGCCCCTGATATACTTATAGACTGCCACCAAGTCCCCTCTGAGTCTTCTTTTCTCCTGGCTGAACAGTCCTTTAACCACATGTTCTCCTTCATGTGCTTAGTCAATAGGGGAAAAAAAAGCAGGCCAGGTACAGACATGACACTCTTAACAGTATAAGTGATCCAAAACCAGTCTATACTCATAACAGAACAGAAGTTCAGCATACACAGACTGGTTTAAAAATAGCAGAACCTGGTCTAAGATTTGCCCTTGCCTCCTCTCCCCAACTGAAGGGTGAATGTATGTTCTGCTCACTACTAATGCCACTTACAGAAAACCATGTAGGGTAAAAGCTGTGTTATCTGGCACCTTACAAGCTGGCATGCTATTAACTGCTTAAAAAACAAAAAGCAGTTTTTTTAAAAAGCGAAACTGGAAGTCCCCACCATGGCACTTCTGGTTTCACTGAGCCCGCACGGCCCGGGACAAAGGAGCCTGCGCTACCAGCCTCCATGGCCTGGGGCATAGCAGCCTGCGCGGGGCCCACCTTCTCATCCTTCAGGGTCCATGGGGCCCGAGGGAGGGGCGGTGATGTAGCAGGAGGGGCGGCAATGCCCCGGATGTGGCAGGAGAAGCAATGGCTTGAACAGCCAAAGACACCTGTTCAGGCCTCTCAGTTAACCAGCATATGTTATTATCCGCTCCCCACCCCCTCCCCCCCATTCGTGCCAGATAACAAAGCTTTTGCTGTAAATTAGATTGATTCTGCCTTGGGTTTTTAGAATGTCTGTACCTCCCCACAAAGTCTAAGTTATTCTTTACTTCAGGATTCCCAGTATTTTGTCTTTAAATTCCTTGGGGCATGCTTTGTCTTTAATTACTGATATTTAACAAAATGTAAATATTTGTAAAAAAAGTAATTCTATTTGTAAATGTAAATATCACTATTTAAATGTAAATAGTCTGCAATGTTTTTAATGCTGTGCATTACCATTACTTTCAACTACCCATTTTCTCTTCTCAAAGTTGAATTTGTTCTGAAAATAACAAAGTTGCAAGGTTTTCATTATCTACCTTATTACCATAGCCTAGATGAAAATACTACTCCATCTTCTGCCAGCATTCATCCCAGTATAAGGGAGAAGTGGATGTAACATACTACCAGATAAGAATCTGAGCTTTTTACACCTACTTTGCACTGGTGTAAGTAATGATACAAGGTACTGGACAGCAGTAAATCAAGCTTTAAGGGTGAGTCCCTCTGTGTTACAGATTTAAGGAGAACTACTATGAAAACACACCTGTGCACTTGCTCCTGTTGCATGGGTACACCATGATGGAAACATGTTGCAGAATCACAATTAGAGTGAAGATGGAAGTGCCCTAGGCATGTACCAAAAAGTAGATACATGACATTTTTTCAACCTGTGTTGCATAAGGAATGCAAGTATGTGGGGCACATTTTCAAAGCTGATGCAATGGTGACATTTTCTTTTGAAAATGAAAGACCACTAAGACTCAGCAATTTGTTTGGATTCCTTTGCTATCTGTCATAGGAAATAAGTGAAATGACACAAATCTTTCTTTTTAGAAGTGGATTAAGTGGAAAAATATTTTCCATAAAAATAGTTACATTTTTAAACAATTTCCACAATTCATACTGGTCTTTCTTTGACATTTTCTTCCCAAGAACCCTACTCTGGAGGACTTCAGGGAAAGCACATTTCAAAGTGTCTTGCATGAACATTAAAAAAAAAGCAAATATTAATTTTCACTGGCAAGAATTTGTGCCAAAAGGGCTTAAAAAACTTATCCAATAAAGGAATAGTATCATACAGCATGTAGAGTACATGACCAATCATAAAAATCAGCTGGGAACTGATCCTACAAAGATTTATGATGATGCAAATCGTTAAGCATTCAGAGAAGTCTCCATGGGGATAATTATGAGGAACAGAGTTAAGTATGCAAAAAAGTCTTTGCAGGATCAGGGCCCGACTCAGTTTGTAAAAAATGTACTCAGTACTATTTGCTAGCAGGCCAGAGAGGTAAAACATTTTGCAGACATTGCACTGAATATTTTTGAATAATGAATATGCTAGAAAAAGAATCAAGATAATATGAATATTTCACAAGAAAAACAATAAGCTAAAAACACTGATTACATGATTTGCAACTATTAATTTATTCAAATTTACCTTTACAGAAGGTGCTTGTGTGTTTTTTTCCCCTTGGCCTTTCTACAACTATATTCAATCTTTCTACCACTACATACTTGCCTCTTTAAAAAGTTAAGCCTACCCACATATCTTTATCCCCTTCTGATAGCTTGATACTTCCAATACTATATTTTGAAACAACTAGTGCACTCTGTGTTTCATCATTATTATGAAAAAGTTAGGTTCCTGTAAGACTAAAAGAAATGAAGAAGATTTTTTCTCCATACAAAATGGGTGAGATTTGTATTTTGCTCAAATGCAGTTCTGCCTTTCGGGAGACATATTTAGGAGTTACCTTTGCTTTGTGCAGTGCTTTTTCTGCAGTGACAGCAGGCAGTGGTTTAGTGGCAATTTTATAATCTAGCATTACAGTACATTATGTACAATACAATGGGGTTTTGCAGAGCTGCATCTCTTAAGAAGCAGAGGATATATGTAGTTTGCTCACTGTAGTAACTTTCTTTTGCTGTACGTCTTTCATGAGTCTTCACCATCAGGAAAACATTCAACGTCTTTTTAACAAGTTAAAAAAAAGGTTCAGGAAGAGTAATAAACCAAACACATTTTTAAATATGATAACATTTTCACCTATGAAATACTCAAGTTCTTATTGCTTTTCACTCACTCCTTATGTTATATATGTAATTCTGTGTGAAATGCTACAAGAACATAAGAGCCTTTTTAGTTATATTTTATTTAATATTTTTCTTTCTAACATGCCTTATTTTTACTCTCATTTGAGCAAAAACAATTGTAAAAGATAAGCCTTTTCACCACACTATTATTAGTAAAGTTATCTTCCTGTTTTTATTTCATTATCATCCATTAAGCAAATAAAAGGTAAAGCACATAATCTAATTTTGTTAATGGAGCTTAATGCAATTCTAGGACTATAAATAAATAAATAAACATGACAAAAATATAATAAGGTTACCACAAAGTACATTTCAGAAAACAGTTAAAAGTGCAAAAAGTCCGTAAAATAAAGCACAAGGATAAGCAACCAGAAGCTGCTGTCTTTCCATGGCCAATGCAGATGTAAAAATTTTGGAAGCTGAAAGACTGCACCATCCAATAATAATCAGAGCTAGCAATGTTCCTAGTATCCCCCTACCAAGGAAAAAAAAAGAAAGAAAAAAGAGTCCATTGGTTATTATGTATTGAAGGAAATCTTATCAAACTCTAGCTCATGTTTAGCTTGCTGTTATTAAGGCTGTTGTCACTGGTAAAAGTGAGGAATAAGTTATGTAATGAAAGTCAAGGGCAAGTTACAAATTAAAATACAACATCAAGCAAAAAGCTATTTCTTTATTTTGGATGAAAATAGCAGCTGCATCAATTGTATTACTTGGAAGACTAGAAAGCTTCAAGCTAATTTGTCTGGGGCTGCGAGAAAAACAACACTGTGAGCTTTTTAATTCCAAAAGTGAGCAGAAGTCCCCTAGCAGCCAAAATAAACATGCATGAGATGCTGTGATTTAAATGATGCTACAGATTTGCTGTTTTCACTGGGGCAGCCTGATGGCCTAGAGGCAGTGCATTTTGTTTTGTATGGCAGGAACAGGAACATACTCGGACCTTGAGGGAGACAGAGCCTTGTATCACTCAGGAATTACAACTCTGCTGGACACAGAAGGGTGTTCACAGGCTCTAGGGCGAGACCCACTGTGATGAATGACCTTTTCAAAGGATGTACTTTGGGAGAATGTAAGAGAGAAAAAAAAAATCACCAAAGCCCACATCCTACAAAGGCTTTTCTCCTTAATCCTAGGGTCTTTCTCCGGACTAAAAAAAAGGAAGAGATAAAATCTATCCTACCCCTTGGTTGACTAAATTGTCTTAGGACCAGTTTTTGCCAGTGCTGCAGGGCAAAGTGGCTACATAGCACTCGAGAATCTGATGCAGGGTCCTGTGAGCCAGAGTCCACTGAAAGACTTGCATTGAATCCAAGCCAGATATGAACAAGGTATTGCAAATAAATAATGTTTCACACATACTTTATTTGCATTTTGCATTTGCAGTCTGCTTCTGTAAAATGTATGAGTTCATTCACATAATATGTTGCCGAAGTACATAATAAGATGGCTGTGTTACACACTTTCCCTATGTCAATCTCAAGGACTTTCAGGATAAATAGAGCTCTTCCACTTACTGAATGGTTGTGTTAATTCCATTCTTCAAAAGTATCAACAGAATAAAACCAAACATAAAAAGTACATCAGACGTATTTACTTATCCTCATCTATCACAAGTAATCTTGACTAAATTAGTTTGCTAACTAAACCAGCATAATGAAACCTATTTATTTTGTTTATTTATTTTTGTTAGTGTAATCAAGTAAGTTCACATTTTATTTCTTGGAAATGTAGTTCCAAATCCCATAAGGTACTCAGCACCTTCAGTTCCTGAGGACTGCAACAAAATTTAAGGTCACACAGTGCCTCATTTGATTTAACTCATAAAAAACCAGTATGCTAAGAAGCCAAGCATGATATTATATCCTCAGTCTAAATGCTATTTTAACCCTTCACCTTGATTTTACACATTCAGAATTATCCAGTTTCCTGGATCCTGCTCTGGACTGAGAAGCAAGGAAGGTGGCACAGCCAGCTGGAAATTCATGGTTTGTATAGATGTCTTCTGAAGCATGTATTAGGGGTGTGCTGGAAGAGGAAAAAGATGTAGCAGGAGCATGCTGTACAATGGCAATTTCCAGCTAATGTAACTTTTCAGGGGACTGTTATAAAGTGTGGTTGATGTGTCTTGTAGTGCGAGCCAAATTTTGGCACCAGGACTGATAGTGAATGGAATAGCAAGGTAGCATTAAGTCATCCTTCACCTGAAGAGTCAAGAGATGCTTCAGTGCAGACAGAAAGGTACAATGAAAATGCCATGTATATGATTCCCTGAAGGACTAGATAAGTGAGGGCATCTTTACACATGTTCTGGGGTGGGGAAGGGAGTGGGGGGAGCACTCTCTGGAGACACTCTAATTAAAGCGCCTACAGCATCTCAAGTATTCATCTTCCTACACTTCAAAATGGCAGCAGGGGCACTAACTAAAGCTTGTTCAATGAGCTTCAGTTAAAGCATTCCCGCCATCATTTTGAACCATGGGGATGCTGAATACATGTGACACTGAAGCTGCTGGAGCATGCTAATTAGCACACTCCAGCAGACTTGATTAGTCCACGTCGGAATAGGTTCATAGATGTTTAGGGTGGGAAGGGACCTGAGTAGACCATCAAGTCTGACCCCCTGCCCTGGGCAAGAAAGAGCGCTGGGGCCAGGTGACCCTAGCCTGGTGCTTGTCCAGTCTCATCTTAAAAACCCTCAAGATTGGGGACAGCACCATCTCCCTTCGAAGCCCATTCCAAATTCTGGACACCCTTACTGTAAAGAAGTTCTTCCTGATGTCTAACCTAAATCTGCTCTGTGTTAGTTTGTGGCCATTGTTTCTAGTAACTCCAAGGGGTGCCCTGGTAAACAGAGCATCTCCTATTCCTTGCTGTCCCCCCGTGATGAATTTGTAAACAGCCACTAGATCCCCTCTCAGCCTTCTCTTGCGGAGGCTGAAGAGATCCAGGTCCCTCAATCTCTCCTCATAGGACCTTATCTGCAGCCCCCTAACCATCCAAGTAGCCCTCCTCTGGACCCTCTCAAGGTTTTCCACATCCTTCTTGAAGTGCAGCACCCAATACTGAATGCAATACTCCAGCTGTGGCTTTCCCAGTGCCGTATAGAGATGTATAACAGCTGGCTCCAGCTGCTAATTAGCACGCTCCAGCAGCCTGAGCAGGTTATGTCAGGCATGTGGATATGGACTGTGAGGGCCCACTGAAGCATTTGAGTGCTGGGGTGCTCAGCTTGAATGTGGCGATCTACATAGGAACACTGAAGGATGGGTGACAGCTGGGGGAATTAGTAACAGATTCATAGTCTGGACCTGTGGACAGTCTGGATTTACCAATTTAGAGCCCAAAGGTAGAGGGTCTTGCAGGCCAAGTCCACTGCTCATTCACACAGCCCATAGACATGCTCACAACAATATCTTTGCACCAACTGCTTCAATCTAGGATTTAGGATTCCAGTCCACTGCCCTATGTTCATTTCCCTTATTGTGCATCCCAAGTAAAAGAGGTGACCTTCCTTTTCTGGGATTTGGGGGTTTCCTGAAAGAAAAAGATAAGTCTGCAGACTGTTCTTCCAAGTCCATTCTGACCAGAAACTAATTCCTTTAGAATAATTGTCTAATCAGCTTGTCACAAAGCACAATACCCTCAGAGACTGGCATAACCAGAGCTTTGGAAAATACGGTTTTGTTTCACAAAATATTGGCATCCAAATATTGGCCAATCCTTTTGTACCATCTTGTTTCCTTCTTTAAATACTGCATCACCAGCAATTAAAATGATATGGCTGTTTTTCCCAAAAATCAAAATGTGGAAAAGATGTATATTTTTCACATGTTTATGACAACAGCTTTCTTGCTAAGAGCATGGGCTTGATTTTAGTTAGAAGATGATCTGTTTTTGTTACATGTTTTTGGACATTACTTTTAGTACCCCAAGAAGAGGGAGGAAGGGAGAGCACTGGCCCCCTGATAGTCCAAGGGGGAAAGCTCTATGTAGGGAGTCTGGTGCAGATCCTTCACAGGAAAATTCCCCACCTTTCCACCAGTCAGGGGAGGAGCATTCTCCTTCTGTAGTGGGAACCTTCCCAGAGTCCCAGGAAGGTTGCCTCCTGGAAAGAAGGCTCCCCACCTGCCTGTGCTTCTCCCAGTGCACCTGAAGGTGTGTGTGTGTGGGGGTGTGTGTGGGTGGGTGGAAGCATGCAGCTACAGAACAGTCCCCTGCCCCCATATACCCATTCCCATTCCTCCATGTGAGAGGTAGGGGACAGCTGTGCAGCAGCTTCAAGTCTCCCCAGGTTTGGAAAGGCTTGCTGCTGCTGGAGAATGGTCCCCTGCCCCTTCATGCTGCTCTTTTCCATCTGGAAGAGTGCATGGTCAGGGCTATTCTCCTGACATGGAAACCAGGAGGCTTCCTGCCTAATCAGCTGTTTGATAGGATGGTGGGAGACTTTCTGCAGGGGTGTAAATCCTCCTTGAGCTGTCTGTGGCAACTGCGGCTTTTCAGCAACTGGCAACTGCCAACTGACAGCCTGCTCTCTTTCCATCCAGGGTATCAATTAATAGGCACCCCCCAAGGGAGAAGGTGGCCCAGGCAGCAGCACTCTTGTGCCTGTTGGCTAAAGAGCTGGCCCGTGGAGCTCTTCAGCCAGGGGGCTATATCACAGGTAACCTCCAGCTCTCAGGCTATTTTTCAACCAGTTTCCAAGAAATTCTTATTAGTAGAAATGAGCTCCTGTCCATGGCCTTAGTATGTATAGTACTTCCCATGTTAAGTAAAGAAGCACAAGATTAAATCAGTATCAGGAGAATTCTTTGAGGAAATTTATTTCAGATAACACCTGTAAGCTTTTAAGAATTACCTACAAATTTCTCCAGAAAGAGTTACTCTACAAAGTATTTATGGGCTTTTAAAAGTGTGAACTTGCAGTAGTTTTACAGCATATTACAAATGTACTGTATTCACTTAGGGACTGTCTGATACAAACAATAGCACCCTGATCAAATGTAACAGCTGCTTTGGAGCTAAACCCATCTGTCCTGTAACTGCATATGTGCACCTTTTATAAATGTGTATTAAATAGGGTAACCAAGTAAATACACATTTTGTAGAAACAACAGAGAGTGAGTGGCTCCTTCAGTGCTTTTATTGGCTGTCATGTCAGAGAGAGCTTAGAAACACTTCAATACATGGATCATTGCCAGGCTAGACCATAATAGCTCCATGGAAACATGAAGCAAGTGGACTAATTCAGTGTGCTAAAATCCTTATGCCAGCAAAAGATGCTGAAAAACAGTATACACAACTACTGCTCTTCTAAATAAAATAAGTAGGGGCAGCTATTCAATTTCCAGCTGCATTCTACTCACTATACAAGGCACATCCCACACCTTATGGACTAGTAGCTCACAAAAATATTAGTTAAAATTCTCTCCTTCATATTTGTGAAGCAGGGAGTTGTTATTTATTACGTGCACTGCAATGCTGCCCCAGGGCTATAATCAGGTGCTAGGTCTCCTTCTACTTGGCAGAGTACAAACGTGGAGGCAGACACAGTCTGTACCTCAAAGAGCTCACAGTTTAAGAGGGAGGAAGGAAAAAATCTGAATATACAGACGTTTTCTATACATACATATTTAGCTATATGCACACACAAACTTCTATATAAATATTTGGTTACATTTACCATTTTAAATTACATTTTAGATCTGAAATTACAGTTTCTTAATTAGAGTAATAAATGGATTTGGAATTGTCAGCATTTCCCTGCCACCACCTTGCTTACTGTCCCTTAGTCTAGTAATAAAGGGTTGACTGATGTTACAACAGATCTTGAGAAGGAACAGGAATGAAGACAGTTGTTATTGAAGGAAGATGTAATGACACAACCATTTATACAAATCCATTTAAAATACGAAACCAGGATTCAAACCACTACTGGGTCTGGATTTACAAAACAGAAAAAAGGGGTTCTCTGAAATCAAAGCCACTCTCAGTTGTGACTGACTGTCAAAAAAGGGGTCCCCACACACTGGATTCAAATTTACCAAACTTTGGGGTCACATACCTAAACCCCTCTGGGCAATTCTAGAACCCAAATCACCTCTGTCCTCATTTTGTCTATCTCTACATGAAAACACCAATCTTCCGTTTTTTGTTCGTTCCGGTATGGATATTTTTCTTTACATTTTTGAAGGCAAAGTCACCCCAAATCTTAAAAGGAAATGCTTCATATAATACTGCACTTCTTAATTACTGTAATCCTTCTGGGTTCTGTCATATATGCTGATACTTACTGTAGTGAGAAGAAGATTGCACAGCTGGACAGAATCACCATGGGTAGCAGGCAGTAGCCCAATACACTTGCAACACAGCCATATGAGACTCCTGCTATGCTCATCAGGTTCAATAAAGCATGTATTCCTAGGCATCCGATAGCACTCATACCATACACATAGCGAAAGTGATCTTTTCCTGCCTGAAATAAATATGAGTCAGTACCAAACAGCATCATCATACTACTAATTACGAAACACTAGGAGAAAACAGAATATAAGGACTAGGCCTGGTCCACTTTTGGCTTACACAGTTTGACATTTACAGGCCAGGTACAGACATTGCACTTTTACCAGTGTAAGTGATTGGAAAATGGTCTATACCCATAACAGAAGTTCGGCACACAGGACTAGTCTATACCTGTAACATAACAGAAGTTCAGCACACAGAGACTGGTTTAAAAATGGCAGAACCTCAGTCTAAGATCTGCACCCCCTCTTCCCCCGCAAGAGCAAATATGTGTTCTGTTCACTACCAATCTAAACTATGCCACTTAAAGAAAACTGCCTCAGGCTTTTTGAATGTCTGTACCTATCCAAAGTCTACTGACTTTTATTATTCCGGTTTAAGTGCATTCAGAATCCAAGCCAGTATTTTACAAGGTTTTGATCTGAAATAATATATCCCAAAAGAAAAAATGTCATATTTGTTTTAAATTCACAGGGATATAGAGCCTGATTCTGCATCACCTTCTATTAGTCAGACTCCAAGAGACAGGTATTATTTAGGTGACCTCACTAGCACTAGTGAGATAAAATTAAGGACCTGAAAATTTGGACTGAATATCAGAAAAATAGACAAATGGAGTGAGGCTGTAGAAAAGTCTGCCAAGAAAATAAGTGGAAGCCCCATTACTTGAGACATTTCATGTTAGATTGGACACTGGGAATGAAGGAATGCTTTTTATAGTTATATATATATCTATTTAGTAAACAAGAAAAGCCATGATCTTAGTACAGAGAAATACTTCTATTTACATTTCATACTGAACCATGGACCCCAGCCAGACATTTCTAATATATATTTTTGTTACTAAACCCAAATACTATCTAAGCTCATCAAAAGGAAGTGAACCTTTTGTGAACTTTTAGGCTCAGTACAGACATTCAAAAAGCCAGAGGTGGAATTGATCTAAGTTACAGTTTTCTGTAAGTGGTGTAGTTTAGATTGGTAGCAAACAGAACAAATTCACCCTTTGGTGGGGAGAGGAGGGAGGACAGAAGGGGGAGAGGGCAAATCTTAGACTGGGTTTTGCTATTTTTGAACCAGTCTGTGTGCGCTGAATTTCTGTTCTGTTATGGGTATAGACCAGTTTCCGATCACTTATATCGGTAAAAGTGTTGTGTGAACCTGGCCATTTTCATGGTGAATTCCTTCCTCATGTGTAAGTCAAAAGGTGCCCCTGAACCTAAACTCAGCATGTGTACCACTGCCGCATCACTGTGATCGGCTTCATGTAACATGTTAATTTCTACATTAACCTTTCTAGTACCTGTCAGTTCATGTTCTTTTTTTTTTTTTTTTTTGCTCCACTTAATGAGTGATTCTCCAGCCCCTTTTTTTGACTTTTTCTTTTGTCTGAATTTAATGCTTGTGAAAGGTACCAGCCTGACAGCTCTGGAGACTGATGTCTTCTAATTTATCCACAAAGCAAGTACAATACAGGCAGCAGTAGCAATAGCGCAGATTTCCTCACATTGCTCCAGCCCCAATTTAGAGAAATCACCTCTAGACATAAGAGGGTTAGTTCATTTCCCATTAAATCTATGGTCTCTCTTAAGCTACTAGGAAGTGAACTACTGAATACCAACTGTGAGGATAATACTGTGATTTTGACACCCACACATTTGAAAGAAAATATAGCTCATAGATGAAGTCTGTAGTCAAACTTCTACAAAAAGAGAGAAGCTCATCAAGGCAGGGCTTTGTTAGGGGCTGGCTCAAGACTGTGAAAAAACTCCCATAGAAATAAGAGCCACCAAACCTCACCTGCTTCGTTGTCATTGTAAGGTGAATTTCTTTGCTGTTATCTTCTTTCACTATAATAAATACATGTTGCTATAGATGTGTGTGTGTGTGTGTGTGTACACGCACACACACACACACACAAAGTCAAATAAAATAAAAAACCATACCATTATATGCCCTTCCCCCATGAGGAGAACAATCAGAGATAGATGCATCTGATCAGATTCTAGAGTTACTTATAGTAAATTTAATTAGAAATTCAGAATAGAAATGATTAGGCAAGTACTGTTTCACCTATGGATATTAAGGAACAAAATCTGTCTATATACAGGGCTTATACAGTCCTCATTACAAGGTGCCTGAGCATTTCACAATCTTTAATTCATTTAACCTCATACCACTCTTCTCAGGTAGTGTTAGTGCCTCAGAAGACTGAGGCAATAGAACATAGCTAAATGTCTTGCCCAAGATCACACAAGAAGTTTGAGTTGGAAAAAGTTACTGAAACCAGGTTTTTCAAGTCTCAGTCTAGCACTCAAACCAATACTCATCTCAGTTCATGTCTTTTAAACCAGCGCAACCTCACTGAACTTAGTGAGTTTACTTGGAGGTAATTGAGAACTTAGGGCTTTAAATTTCTAAAAAAGAATATCTGCTTGGCAACATGAGAAGTCCTATTTCTTAGGCACAAACTCTCCTGCTGGCATTCAAAATACTGGGAACCTCTAAAGAATTAATGAAAGCTGCTTCATTAAAGAAAATTAACGAGAACTAGCAATACTGAGGGAAAATACTACTACATCAGACTACTAACTACAATCACAGTCGTTAGAGGGTTTTAATAGGTTTAACATTTTCAATTGCTGGGGCAGTATTTCCTTTAGAACAACTAACAGATGTTGTATCCTAAATAGACACAACAACCACCAGCAGCTAATATTTTACATTGTTTGTTTCAGAACATTTAATTAATTGACGGAGCTCTATTTAGCAGCTTAATCTAAGATTAACAAATTATGAAGGCAGCAACGAAGGAAAAGAGCATAGCAGCTCAACACAAATTTGGTGTACTGTTTGATATGCATGGAATTTATGCTAGGTGCAGTTGAAAGGGAAAAAAAAAAAGGTTGTAAATTAACACAATATTCCCAATGTCTTTTTGACCTGCTCCATTTAACCCTATTGATTACCAATCTATGGTGATATATGCAAGATCAGAGTGGGCCCCCATTATTTTGGCAGAATTGGAATGGATGTATACTAAAGTGATAGCACTAAGTATTCTTGCAGAAATAATAAAATTGAAGTAAAGTATCAGTTCTGACCCTGGCCCAAACCCAGGACAAGGATCCAGAGCCAGAAATACTGCTGCCACTGTTGCTGCTACCGCTGCTGCCTGGCTATGGCTGAGGTCAGAGCCACAATGTGCTCTGTGCCTGAGGCCCAATGCAGAGCTGCTGCAGTGAGTAAGTGGCTTCAGGAGGAGCAAGGGGCTGGGGGAACAGGTGCAGGGGGCACAAGTGCTAGGGAGGCAGGTGGCAGTGGGACAGGCATCAAGGAGGGCAAGTGGCAGGGGGACAGGTGGCTGCAGGGTAGATGTTGGGGGACACAGGAACTGTGTAGCAGAGGGGCAAGGGGCAGGCCTCCGCCCCCTGATTTCCCCACTGTAGTGGTGGTAGGGAAAAATTTAAGATGACCCTCCAATAATTAGATTCTATATATGGAAAATTATAACAAATTTATAATTTTACATGCATAAGATCTAATTATGGGGTGGGGGGAGAGGAGGGGAGAGAGGGGTTGTCTTAAATTGGAAGTCATCTTGTATTTGGGCAAAGATGGTATTTTGTTTTCTCATTTACTCCAGTACAAAGTGGATGCAAATGCTACCAGTGATATATGTTCCTGGTGAAGTATGATTTAGTAACACCTACTTTGCATAGAAAACTAATTACAAAATATGCGGGACAGTAGACTCATGTCCCCAACCCAAATGCTGCTCTCTCCTCTCCATTAAAAACTAATTTAATGGACACTGTTATTATTGCATCTGCAGTGCTGTTGCCCTAATTAATAACATGAGAGGGGACTCAGGCCTTGCTCCCATGCTCCAAATCCTTACCGTTCTCTTCTTCCCTGTCTTCTCGTGCTCCAAAATAACTGCTACCAATATTTCTGCATATTTCTGAAGTCTTTCTGAAATATTCTGAAGAATATTTCTGCATAGTTTTCTGTAGTAAAGAACTTGAAAAAAATGTAATTTATAATTCTTTTCTGAAAAAAATGCCTTCAGCCAAATTGTATTACTAGTGCTATTAGAAGAGAATTATTCAATACCAAAAAGTGTATCCTAGCTTTCAAGGCTAAAAAGCTAGCCTGATATCAAATATCAGTGCAAAAACCAAGCAACTCCAAAGAGTAAGATGGCACTTAAAGTCCTATATTCCAATTGGTAGAAAGTTATATTAGCGATCTAACACAACCACATAGGTTTTAATTGTTTTTATTCACTGAACCATTAGGCATGATTCACCATTGCGTTGCTGAATGTTATGGACATACTGGACTTGTGCAAGCCTAAAACAACCTTTCTGACATTTCCTCTCATCCGCTCCTTTTCTAAATGCTCCCCAATTTTTTGGAGTATAATAATATAAAGGTAATAACATGTCACCTCCTTTTCTTGTTTCTCTGGAAAGCAGTGACCTTCTACCTGCCTCTCACTTCCCTTTTCTGGGAGTTTCCTTCCCTCACCCTCACTCTTCTACTTCCTTCCCTTCCAGCTTTTCAGTTTATAGTTATTATAATAAAATAATTGTATTATAAAATAACACATTTTACATCTCTCCTCAGCTTTACTATTACAAAGCTATTTCCATAGGGAAAAAAGTGGAAGACAAAGAAAGGAGGAGGAAAATTAAGAGAAAAGAGTTATATCCATGCCTCTTTCTTTTGTTTAGGCAAAAAAATTGAAAAAACAGCATTAGTAAAGTCAACAGAGAAGTATGGCAGCTTTAGGAAATAAAAGTATTTTAAAGATTTTTTTGGAATGGTTTAGATATAAAAAGTGTTAAGAAATCTTTCCTCTCCCCGAAATAATATTGAAATGACAAATTTGTAATAGTGATAAAATGCTATAGGTGTTATTTTGGGCTGGAATAATGTAGGCCTTTCCTGTACACATTCTGCAAATGTACAGAACACAACCTGCATAAAATCTCTCTGCCTCTCTTTATATATTATGTCTCTACAAAAAAGTGTGTGCCCTGCCCTTGTCTTTTTATGGAAGCAATAATTTTACCTGTGTTAGAAGTAAAAATGATATAAAAAAAATTATAAATAAATTTTACAGCAGATATGTTCTTATATCCAATCTGAATGCAAGCTGAAACAAACCATTTAATTTGTACCTGCATAGCATCTGCCCAAACTGAACCAGTGTTATTGTACAGGCATGAAAATGCTTAAAGCATTCATAACTTTGCCATACTGTACCAGTAGCAGTGTAGCACCAAGAGTCAAACAGAAAACTGTAGGCCCAGTCATGTCTGTCTCATTCATAATGCTGCCATCTGCTGGTTTCATTGGGTTTAGGACAGTTAATGTTTTTTGCCATATATGATCAAAATTGATCCCAAGTTCTGCAACAGAAAAATTCCATAATTGTTTATTATTTTAAAAGCCTTTTGCTTTTTTTTGTTTTTTTTTACAGAAATCACTAGATACCATGAACCCAAAATAAGAAAAATCAACCTCTTGTCTGACTAGAGGGTTGAATGCAAGAAAATGTATTCTTTTGCAGGAAAGATTCCCTTACCTTTTCATGCATTATATTCAAGACGAATTCCTAATTCAGAATTATTGTAATTAAATTATTAAATTAAATTGTATGCAATGAACAAAAACAAAATACTATCAACACTATCCTCTTAATGTTTGGTTTTCCAATTGAGAGAGAGACATATATACACATTATATACATTTCTAACCTTATTAAATGAGACTTTGAATAATGTGCTAATTAGCAATACCTGCAAAATTCAAGGAATACTGAGGACAGAGATGCATGCTTTAATTCTGGTAAATATGACACAAGATGTTTCTTAATCCTGAGTTGCTAGAGGCATTTTAAAAAATGACACTTTGCCCTTCAAGGAAAAGCAATAACAACTTGTGCAGCATTTAAGGGACTTTTACAAATATTTCTATGGAAGCTTTGTGATGGTCAAAATTTTACGCCACTGAAGTCAATGACTGCAGAAAGATTGCAGCTCCCAGGAGCAACATTCCTCCTGTAATGCTCCCACAAAGAGCAAAAACAGTTTTGGAATGAAGCTGCTAGCAGCAGGGAGGGCTCCATTCAGAAAGCAAATGTCCAATTTCTGCACTGTGCCAGCTTATTTTTGGAGCCAACACAAAAACCAGATTATATAGTATGCAGTTCTCTACATTGTTTTTAATTATACTGCAATTATACTATATATTTCCAATTATACTTTAATTAGAAGTAGTCAGACCCAAAACCTCAGACGGTAACATCTCTAGAACTTTGTGGTCAGAACAGTTTTTATTTTAATGTCAGTCTACAGTCCAGCCACCAGGTGAGCTGCACGTGGAGATGGAGATCTAACCTTCTATGTTCTGTTTCCAATAGGCACAAAGTGAGTCTGCTTCCATTAAAGTCAAAGGGAAATGTTCTATTGACTTCAGCAATGCTGCCTGGCTGAATGTAACTAGGATTTACTTTACTAATTATACTAAATCCATTACAAATAAGTCTCCAATTTTAATCGCATATCTATGTGTTGTTTTTAAATCATCAGTATGTTTGTTAACTAAAGAGTGGCCTGCTAATTGGTTACAAGTATCATGCTTGGATCATAGATTTTTTTACAATGAACCATGTCTTTTTGCAATTAAATGGCCTACCACATGAATGTATGCAGGTTATGAGAACTTTCTCAAGCTTTCTATTTAAATGAGCTCTCTTGAGTCTTTTTAACTAGTAAATTTATTACTAGATATGCAAGCAAGATTACAGAAAGTGTTTATAGGTATTCTAAAATGATATAATGCAATATAAATATATAGAGAAAAACTGTTAAAAAGTCTGAGTACAAAATTTATTGTTATGCTGTCATCTAGTGGTAATAAAGTATATGCTATATGTGCCAAAAAACAAATTAATACTCTTATTTTTTATGCAAATTGTGGCACTTTCTTTTCAAACATAAATATGTACCTATGTTAAAAATACAAAAGCAACAAATCAACAATATATTTTTCTGATTTGACAGTCTATGATTATTATTTCTTAAAATACATCAGTAAATATTTTGATTCTTATTGTCAACTAGCAAGATGTTACATTAGATATATAAAGTTTACATATGTATACTTTGTAAGCATATGCAAAAAGAACTCTCATTTAATTCTAGGTATGCAAAAACAAGTGTAAATGAAGTGTGGTTTTGTTGTTTGGTTGTGTCCATTTGGAAACTAGTGTACAGCTTAATACTGATGGGTGACTTCTAGTTTAAAGCACGTCCTAGTACCCGTCAATATAGGCCCTGGTACAAAGGTCTGTTCCCACAGTCCAGATTACAGGACCTTGGTCACAAGTCTTTCTAGTCCTCTCAATTGGATCCTAAAACTCCCACTAACTAGGATTTGGAGCTTGCAACAATGCAGAATCAGACTCCCGATACAGCTTCAGTCTTTGGGATGGAGGAATGTCAGATGACTTGTTCTTTCGGACATAGAACAATTGTGAGACTTACTGTTAGATACAGTGGCTCTGCTGCACAGTAATGATTCTCTAGTCAGTGACATGAGTTGGTGAAAAATATAGATACCTAGAAACATGATAGGTTAATATTGTTAATAGATGAACTTTTACCTTCTAACAAAGGCGGTTCTTCATCAAAACTGCCAGAAGAATTAGAATGCGATAAAAACTCTGGATTGTAGGTTGGCTGCAAAATCTGGCCTGTGTAATTTTGAGAAGATGGAATTATTTCTGGAGAAACAAATGCAGCAGGTTGAGGCAACTCATCTATTTGGTACCTATAACAATAAGCACAGTCATATATCTGGGTAAGATGGACAATTTATAATAAAGTAACTTCACAATAGCTAAGAGTTGTGCATTAATATGGTTACCAGATTGCCTAGTCCCTTTTGCTTCTATATGTTACTTAATTGTGTTGTATCCCTTCATCATTAACTGTGCATTTCTAACAAGCCCAATGAATGAGGAAGGGGTCCTCAAGAAAACATAGTCTTTAATATAATGGTTGCATCTGTATGTGCATTTATGTCACATTAAATTTACTATGTAGTAAGTTACTGTGCAGCAAGCGGAACATAGGCTGTCATCTACATGTGCAGGTGTGAAAGCACAATAATGCTGTGTGAGATCTGACTTGGGACTAAAGTTAGTCCCAAGTCAACCCAAACACACAGTGTTACTGCACAGTAAGGTGTCGACACATGCATTACTGCGCAGTAACTAGTCAGGCATAAATTTGATACCTGCAGGATGCCCAAGTCAGTATAAGTTGTCATAGTTACTGTGCAGTAAATGTGCATGTGTATACATGCCCACTGATTACAAAATATGCACACAATGGGGTATGTATGGTTGTGGGGACAATTATAATCTAAACATTTCTTAAATACTGAGTTTTTTCACTCTGTAGCCTGACTTTTCTCATGCATTTAGTTTTTTAATGGAATAGCTCTACATGTATCTGAATGTACAGTTGTATTGAATACAATGTAAAAGTCATTTCAACAAACTAGCAATATGTGCAAATAAAAATCAGTTATAGTCACACAATGCCCAACCAATTTTCTAATTATAATTATATATTGCATTTATAGTTCTATAATGCCTGGAGAATCCAAATAAGTTTGAATCCTCAGCCAGTCTAAGCACATTCAAGATTAACTCCAAAGACCTTAAGGAAAGGATTATTATCCCCATGCCACATATGCAGAACAATATGCAGGGAAAATAAGTGACTAATTTAAGGTAAACCTGGAAGTATATGGCAGAACTGGCAGCTGATCTTAACTATTTCCAGTCCACTGCTTCAATCCTAAAATCCTTCTTGTAAAATGGGATTTTCCACATGGAGATGGCCTTCTCCATATATCTCCTCCATCTTGGGCTGAGTGGAGGAATCATCCCTCCCTGTCTGCTGTGCTGTTGTTATACATGGCTGAGGAAATGATTGGTTGAAGGCAGAAGGGAAGTACTTACTTTTGGCATGTGTGTCATTCCCTTCAGAGATCACCAGAAATGTAATGTAATTTCTATTTGAGGAGTTCTTGAGTAGCTGGGGTGTCTATCCCATAAGCAGGATGGTTTCAGGGACCTCAGCAGATTGATCTTGTCATAAGGGCCAAAGTAAGTGGTGAAAATTACCACTGAATTGAGTTGGTTTTCTGTGGAGCACTTCTTATCTAAAAATGTTGGGAGTGGAGCTGTTACCTGTTCCCTGAGTATGGAGAGAATGGCAGAATTCAACTGCCATCAACAAATAATTTTTTTGAAAATTCCTTTATGGGAACCACTCAGTGCTTTCCTTCTCCTAATGCCGCTTCCCCCCCAAAAATTAAGTCCCACACATGTAAAAAATCCAAACAACACAAAACTTTTGTTCTCTGTCTCTAGTGCTACTTTATAGTATTCTCTTCACATAAAACTTTAAATTCAATTGAACGCATCTTTTTTCCAACAATTTAACATTGTAGTTTGTTGTTAATTTGATGTTGAATTAAAAAAAATAAAAATCAATATTTGCCTTCTATCTTTCTACTTACTTTCTGTTTCCATAAAGATTTTCATTGGCCTCAGAATGATTGTACCCTGGTTCTTGATTATCAATGGTATAGCTGGACTGGTAAAAGTCTGAATGAAATTGTTCAAAGTTTGACATTCTGGGGAAAAAATGATTTAGAATACTGATGAAATAGTGCTAGATAAAGTAAGTCATTATTTTAGAAAAGTTATAACCCAAAAGAAAAAAAGAAAACTACAGAATTGCAGGCTTAAAAAGATTTCTTTTCTCTAAATGAGCTTATGCCAATTCGAAGTGGCAGAAATAAACTCAATTAGTTTTTCTTTAGTATAACTACAAAATAATTTCTCATCTGTTATCATACATGCTAGAGATGCTATTTTTTAAACAAAGACGAAAAACCTACTCTTAAGCCTTACCTGACTTCTTGACACAACAATTAGTCATTCTTGATAGATATTTCCAGTAAATTCTCGTTGAGAAAAAACTATATCCCATTTTAAAACAAAGCTATGGCCAAATTCAAATGAGTGATACTAATTAGTAGATGAGCTATATCCTCTGCAGAAAAGAACCTGGGGGTTACAGTGGTCATTAAGCTGAATACAAGCCAACAGTGGGCACATCTACATGATATGCTTTAAGCTCAGTAGACCAATTCTACTGCACGTTAGTGTGGCAGGTAAAACTTGTGCTAATCCACAGTAGATTTAGTCATTGTGCATTAATGTGACTAAAAACCCAAAAACGTTCGTTTGCACTAATGCACAGTAGCGCCGATTATAGCACATTAAGTTGGTACCTGTCATTACAGGTACTAAATTTAATGCATCATAATTACAGAAGATTAACAGAAACATAGATACGTCCAGTGTGCCCTTGTTGCCAAGAAGATTAGCAGCATACTGGGCTGCACTGGTAGGAGTATTGTCAGTAGATCAAGGGACGTGATTATTTCTCTCTATTCAGTACTGTTGAGGCCACATCTGGAGTACTGTGTCCACTTTTGGGCTCCCCACTACAGAAAGGATGTGGACAGATTTGAGAGTCTAGAGGAGGGCAACAGAAATGGGTAGGGGCTGGGGCACATGACTTCTGAGGAGAGGCTGGGGGAACTGGGCTTATTTAGTCTACAGAAGAGGAAAAAGACTGAGAGGGGATTTCATAGCAGCCTTCAGCTACCCAAAGGGTGGTTCTCAGTGGTGGCAGATACAGAACAAGGAGCAGTGGTTTCAATTTGCAGCAAGGGAAGTTTAGGTTAGTATTAGTTTAGGTTAGATATTAGGAAAAACTCTCTCTAGGAGGGTAGTAAAACACTGGAATCTCCATCTGTGGCAAAGTGGGAGCTCCCCACCCCCCACCCAGCCGCAGTGCTGGTCTCCCTGTCTATCTCATCTGCCGTGCCTTGCTGTTAAGTAATTATGATCTTAAATAGGTAGGAGGTTACCCTTTCCGGGCCCTGGTATCTAGGGCCTTGAATACACATTCCTACCTCTCATAGGTGTTTCTAACGACCTGTGTAAAGCTCTGGCCTGAGGCTGGGTCCAACTCATTACAGTATTAGGCCTCTCACAACCTTCCCTTTTATGGACCACACTCATACCACCTCCCTCTCACTGAGGCCTCTCACAGTCCACCGTCTCTCACGCTGCTCTTGCTGGGCCTCACCTCGTACCACCCCCCTTTTCCCAGGGGTGACACTCACCCAGTCCAGTCCTGAAGGGTCCTTGGACTTCATTCCCTTCACTCCCCAGCCAGCAAGCACGGGGCCTTTTGGGCATCTCCCACTGTCCTCATCTGAACGAGTGCTGGGGAGCTCGCCAAATACTGTACAGACTCTGCCCCTGTCTCATAGCCAGGTAACTTCCCCCAGCTGCCCGCCATACAGGGCTGCTGACTCACCCCCTTATTTCTCCGCAGCTTCTCCTCTGCCACCCTTCAATTGGCCTCAGGCACCTGAAGGCTTATCTGGACCTAATTTAGTCCCCCAAGTTAACAGGACCTCAACTTGAGCCCCCGCTTTCTCACAGGGCCTCAACTCATGCCCCGTCCTTGCAGGGCCTCAACTGGTTCTATTCCTCAGATGCAGCCCTGCAGGTGCCTCTCTGCATCTTCACTTCCCCTGAGGCACATACTCCACCCTCTTCTCTGGGACCTGAGGCTGAAAACCCCTGCACGCTCAGGTGCCCCTCATCGGTGTGCCTGGCCCACAACTCTTCTTCTCTCCCCAGGGTCTTACTCCCCACCGGCTTCAGATGGCCACAGCCATGCCTGGCCCCACTACTCACTCTGCAGGGCCTTGCCCCCACTGGGCTTCGGTCCCCCACCTAGGCAGGCATGGCCCTAACTACCTCCGATGTTGCATTACCCGCCCTAAAGCAGGGGCTTGAGTTAAGGTGCTCCTCCTCACCTTTCACTGGGACAGTAACTGGTCTGGCACTTCTTCTGCTACACCACCAGGAGCCCCACCAGACCACCCGTCCCCAGCAGGGTGCAGTTTCAAGTCACACCCAGGACCAGGAGCCTCTAAGCCACCCCATAGCTCCTGCCATTACCTCCATGTTGTCTCTGGAGCAGCAGCTCCGCTGGGAGATTTTCCTTCCTCCGTGCCAGGCAGCAACTGCTGCCCCCATCCCTGCTGGCCTGAGGCTTAAGGTGGCCGCTCATCAGGCCTGGCCTGTACCTGCCTGCTGCCTGCCCAGTTCTTAAAGTGGCAGAGCACCATGAGTGCTCTGACACCCACCTTCCCCCTTAAAATGGTTCCTGGGGAGGGCTTTCCCTGATGCTCATCCAACAAGCTTTCACAGAGCTTGCAACATCCCTAAGTGGCGAGCACCCCACCGGTGCTCTGCCACATGCCTTCCCCTTTAAATGGCTCCCCGGGGTTTCATCTGACCGCATTCCCTGCAGGCCCTTCTCCAGCCTGCTGCCGCCCACTCTACGTGGTGAGCACTCTCCCAGTGCTTCGCCACACCATCCTTTGAGGTTTTTAAGACCCGGGTAGACAAAGCCTTGGCTGGGATGATATAGCTGGGAATGGTCCTGCTTTGAGCAGGGGGATGAACTACATGATCTCCTGAGGTCCCTTCCAACCCTAATTTTCTATGATTCCATTAATCTACTGCTTAAAAGAACAGTGATTTAGGCATCAAAGCTTTAATTATTCCCAACTATTTATGTTTTGATATGCTACACAAGTATCATGAAGTAACGTACATTTTAACCCTAAAGAAGAGAAAGTTTACACAACTTGGGTTAGCTAATATCTGCTGATCAGTATTCTAACTACAATACTTAAGTTGCATATTTATTTTGAAATTGTGATCTAAGTGGGACCAAACAATAATCAGATAATAAACTAAATATATAAAAACAATTAGTTGTGCTGGTTTTAAGCCATTTTAACTCTGGATTTACAGCAGCATAGAATCCATTTACACCTTTATTTTATATCTAAATCTAGAATCCTGGTTTGAAAATGGTTCCTCCTGGACATTTGGTTCCTCCTCTTGTGAGTATGGTTCTGCCTGGGAATAAACATTTGCACATGAGGAAGCTTCCACAGAAATGGTCATGTAGATTAGCAACATTATGGGTCAGAGGTTGTTTCTTATTTGCTCTGTAATGTGTCAGGCATATTTACAGCATTATAGATATTAAATACTCAATAGCATAGTGAGGTATATGAATCTACATGAAGTGAAATGCACACTCAGATTCTTATGTTTTATATATTAGTTTCAAACCTGTCATCCTTATCACATTATCTTAAATAAAATTACTCCAAAGATTATGGAATGCAGGACTGAGGCTGTATTATACCTACACATACATTGAAGCTGCGTCGATGCACTGGAATTACAATGCATCGGAGCAGACTCGATTAATCGAGTCTGCTGAAGCATGGTAATTGCTGTGCTCTAGCAGACTCCAGCATCATGTGTCAGTACCCCTATGCTGAAAAAAGGCCTCAGGGGTGCTTAACTAAAGCTTGTAAAACTAAAGTTAATCAATTAGCTTAAGTTAAAGTGTCCCTGCTGCCATTTTTCAGCATAGGGACGCTGATACACATGATGCTCTGGGCACTTTAATTAGAGTGGCTCCTGGAGCCACTCTATTTAAAGAGCCCATTGCACAAATGCTGACTCTGCTAGACAAATGGGGCATTTCTACATGTGCTCTGGGAGGTGCAAGTCCCAAAAGCTTGCAGAATTACATTGGTGCTTTCACATTCAGCAATTAGAAAATACAAAGTTGGTGAATTACTACTACTTACTACTCTTAAGTACCAGTCACCTGTGTGTGTGACTGGATGTATACATTTCTAAAATATTTCTGCACTTACAAGGTTAAACCTAAAACTTACAAGGTTAAAATATTTAAAGAAGCTAAGCAGCCTGACTCATAACATGAGCATGTCAAGTTTATTTAACATTTTAACCATTTTAATTCTTGACTTAGGTCAATATTTCCTGTAGTCTTCAGCTTGCTCTGATTCCCCCAATGTTTCATATACTGAATGCAAATTATGCTTCTCACTCAGGTTACTGTATAATTGCTGTTCCCCTCCCCCCATATCTTACATTTATCAAGCAAATGTGGTGTTTCATAGAAATGTTATTTACATAAATAACTTTAGAAGTAAAAGTTATGACAAATTGGTAATTTCTTGGTGTTCTTGAAGTGCTGCATATTCAGGAATTTCAAATTCTATCACATAAAAGGACTAATCTGCCAGGACCCATTCCTTCAGCATTGAAAGGAGCAGTTACACCATATATCAACACTACCTTCTTACTAGTAAACAACACATATAGATTTTCCAAATTTTGGAGAAAATAATTCTTGTTAGCTAAATTTAGTAAATCATATGTGTTTTTATTAGAAATTGGATAAGACTTATGAATTACATGCATTAGGAGTAAGGCTATCATACGTCATAAATCCTGGAACATCTTATTTATTTTTAAAAATATTTATTCATAATTCAGCTTTTGAAGCACATTGATATATTTTGCAATGTTCTCATATATGAAATAACTTCATAATCCATTTTATAACGTATACTAAAATGTATTATAATCTAAAAACATAATTTTTTTTACAAACTTGAAACTCAATTTCAATTACATACCTTTGAATATATCAGGTGAAACAATGTCTCCTGTACATGAACTTACATATGAGAAAAAACCTAAAATATTCTCTTGCGTTAACAGGGATGATCTTGTACTATTTATAATGTTCTAAATTTGACCTGTGAACACATGTGTGCAGCTGAAAAAAGACCCGTCAGTATCATGGACAACATTTAATACCATCTGCAACAGTTTACAACCAAGTACAGAAAGCAGAAGTGGTTAGCAATCATTGAGTTAAGGCAAAACAACCAAACTGCTATGTTTTTAATATCCAATTTTAATCTAAACTATAAAAATTGAAGTCTGTTCTTTAATATATATGTGCATTAAAGCACCCATTACAATAGTGTCTTGTTCCTCAGCTAAGGCTTTAGGTGCTTCTAGATACAATATTAATAATGTATATAGAAATGTATAGATGTAACTTTGATATATACAGGTTAAATGAATATTTCATAGTCTTAGGCACTATGAAACTTTTAGTATGGTAACAAATCCCAAAGAAAGCTCTTTATTGACATGTATTTTAGCATCAGATACTTAACCAATTACAACAATCTCTGCCTTTTCTGGGTCATTTATCAGATGGCTTCTTGATGAGCACTAGGGCTGATTAATTTAAGGAACAGGATATTAAATGGGATATATTCCTGAGTCATTAATCCATGCCTCAGGTGCATTTTAAATTCTATGAGGTTGAAGGCCAAATGAGTTCAATTTCATGAGAAGCATATTCATGGTCCATTAATACATGCCTGATAGTGCTTTAAAACTGGTAAAATATTGTGCGATTTGATTAAAAAAAAAAAATCAACAAATTATGCTCTCACCAAATATACACCCCAAGAAGACTGGTTTAGAATTGAAGGATAGAAGAAAATAGTAGAAAGCCATATTTATCTGTTGTTTACAAGTAATTTAAATTGAACAGCCATTGGTTAGGCTTCCTCTTCTGCAGCTAAGTTTCTTTTCTACCTTTAGTGCACCATTAGCATTCAACAGTGTTTCTCTTGGCAACCATGTTGCAATTTAGCTACAGTAGTTAGTAAAGACTTAGTTTGGATGGTGTGTGAACTTTGTATAACACGAGCTTGATCCAGTTTATATTCAAATCAATGGAAAAAAAAACTTCCATTAACAAGCGCTGAAGTACTTTTGGAAGGACAAAGTTTAAAATTCTGATCCATTTCAATCTTGTAGGAAGCCATAGTCTAACTTCCAAGGCTTTGTTTAAATAAGAAGATGAGACTGTTAAGCTGGGTTGGGGCTGCCATAGTTACTCATTATTCTATAATTAATACCAGAGAACCATGTTCCCTCATGCATAGGTATCTTTTGAGTTGATTTAACTACCTTCATGTTTGATTTCTTTTTTTAAAGCTAATGATAATCTGTCTTCATTTTTATTACTTTGAGGACTGCATGGATCATGCTATTGTGTGTGTGTGTATATATGTATGTATGTATCTTTGCAATTGTGTGACCTGACTTAATCAAAAAAGTCAATTGGGGAATAGCCAGATCAGGGAACAAAGGTGCTTCTCTCTAGATAATGGCCATTTACATCTTAGAAGAGCTACGGCCTGCATGCTAATAGACAGAAAGGATGTAAAACTCTTAACTGACAGCCAACTATATTCCAATGGGAGGAGCTACTGACAGGTGTATCAAGCAAAGCACCAAGGCTTCACAGTCAGGTGTCAAGGGAGAGAGGATTCCAAAGAGAGATAAATAGCTCTGCCTCCACTGAACTGCAAAAGAATGATGAAGAGATATGGAGAGGATATAGCAGAAACTGAGAGGAAGGCAAGGTCCTTCAGAACAGAGACAACCAAGGACAAGACACTGTGGTACCCCTGGGGTTGCTGCTACCTTGACACCAGGCTTTCCCCTATCCCTGGCTCCACCTCGCCTCCAGTCTCTCATCTGCCATGCCTTGGATATATATTCTGCTTGTTGTCAATGGAAGTGGTCCTTGGGTCCTAGGGTAACTTTGCTGGTTGCTTCATGTGGGGACCTGCACTCCCCTTCAAGCACTTCCCTTTTAAGAGAGTGCTCTTACAGGCTTCTGAGCATTTGTTGGAGCCTCAGCTGTTGTGGCCATGGCCCACTTTTTCACTGGCCACATCCCCAAGCCTTGGCCTACTATTTAGAACCTCATTCCTGC